CTCTTAGAGACTGGCCCAGAGATCAAACTCGAACATAGTGGTCCGAATATGACTCGGATCGTGGATTCACTGGTTGCCCTGCTTAATATGAGGGGTCTTGTGCATGATTTACAATACATCGTTGACCAGCTTCTTACAAATGCAGGGTTCGTCAATGTACAGAGAAAGACCGTCAGCCTTTCGCCAAGGGCGGGACTCGGAAACCAGGATGAAGATAGTGCCAACTACGATCATCAAACAATCATGTTATCGTTTATTAAAGCTGCGAAGAAGGGTTTGCTTGAGACAAACATATTTGAATCGGAGGAGGAGTTTGATAGGGTGCTAGAAGAAACGGAGAAGGAATGGGATGAATGGGCGTTGGCGAGGCGAGGAGCCATGTGGAGCTGGACCGTTGCCTACGCACAGAAGGCAGAGACAGTTTGAGCGTAATTACTAGTCACGACTCATACAGGAGAAATTTAGGGTTGACGATTCTCGAAGAGAACTTGAGACGGAAGAGCTTGCGAATGTAATAGCTTGGCCCAGACTGTATGTACAATCTGTTGCATTTTGGCACAACTAATTAGAACCACAGCCACAAAATGCCATTCCCTGATGTCCGAGACCAATTCCCCCATCTCAGTTCACCGCGGGCAACTTCTCTCCGACCCAGTTGGGTGGGCCCCTGAACAGGACGAGCGAAGTCTTTTTTCCACCACGGACGCCCTTGACATTGGTGAAAGACTTAACGAAGTCTTACCCCTGGTCTGCCTTGCTCAAAACTAAGGAAGCGTTGTGCAGTGTCGCCTATTTTTCCAAGCCACGACCGATGTCCGACTCATCGCAGCTAGACTTCATCGATATTCTGGCTTTGAATGTTCGATCTTCTTTCGATAATGTTTATTACAGTCTGTCCAGATTCCAAATGTATATCACAAGCTTTCGTTCGAACATATTGTTCACCAGAGTCCCAGGCATAAAGCTAAGGCCAAGAACATAATTAGCCTATTGTTCGAAGTTTGGGTCACGAAGAATAATATTCTCCTTCTCATTCCACCCTTTCGCGCCTTCTTGATTCCATATTATTCCTTTATTCCATATCATCCCCTGATTGCTTATGTAGTCCAGCAGCGCCATACATCCTCCCGAACATTTCCCCTTCCCATTCGATACAGTAAACAAAAACGGCACCATGTTCAATTTGTGCGTCTCTGGTGAATTCTCGGGGACGATTTTGAGTGGTAATGTTAGGTCTAAACCCAGGGATTTGTCGTTGGCTATTCGGGTGAAGAATTTGTCCATTGATTTGGGGATCAATCTGCCAGCCTGGGCCTCATTGGGTTTGGAATCTCCCACCAGATGGAGAGAGGCTGTTACGGGATAGTCTTTCACGTAGTTGATGAGAATTGTCGATCCGCTAGGAGAATTGGTAGCATGCTGCGATAGTGAGATATTAGGATGGTATTGGTCTAAAGAGAAGGTCACTCACATTCCCGTCAATAGGAACCGCAGATACAGCCGCAATAGAGAAACTGAGCGCTATAAAGGCGAAGTACGACAGGTAGTTGGACCTCATGGACAAGAGGGACGTAGGGTAATATTGAGTGGACGAGTTCCTGCGTTGGAGATCCTCTCAGCCGGCTAGAGGATGTGGAACTTGACCAGCAAGTTGAGGGAAGTCTCACGAGGTTGCTCCGTTATTTAACCAGCTCCGTTCTCCGATTTGACCGCGGCCATCGGTCGCTGATGCGCTGATGGGATTCGTCGATCCCTTGGTCGATCTCCATCATATCGCTGTTTTTTCCTCCTTTCCTACACGTTGTACCAAGGAGTTCCGCAATGGAGAACGATTCGAAAAACTCCCTATTGAAAAACTCCCTATTGAATCTATAGGGTTTGCGACAGCAGATGAATACCAAAACCTTACCCGGCTTCGAGATGGCTATCAGCGATCAGACTCCAGTCCAAAAGAAAAACGAAAGTATTGCCAATGGCATGATTATAGCTTGTTGGGAGTCGAACCAGCTTTTGCACACACCGGACAGGCGCGCGTACTGTTAACCGATACACTACTAGGGACCTTGTTGTAAGTTGACCGACACCAACAAGCACATTCCAATTAATCCACAAATACTCTCGCGCCCAGCCTTCGAAGAGTCCATCCCTTGAACCCACTCGACGGCGAGCTCTTTTCACCAAATATCCTCTTTCAATCTTCAAGTTTATAAATCGCAATTGCTTCTCGGGAATGCCAGATACGGGCCTACATACCACTTTATCCAGTAATCATATCCATTTACACATTCCTTGCGTCCTCGAAGAAATTCGGAAAGAACCTTCCGGAGAGTTTGAAATCACTGGATATATGTATATCGATGAAATTTTAACAAGGGACGTTGTCTTTCCTCTTTCGAGTCCCTTGATTTCAGTGTCGCCACTCATGCGCCTAAAGCAAACTAGATCTCATTGCAAGATATCTCTTGGAATATATATCCAGGGATAGGATAAGTTTTCGATCAACGTTGTGATAGGGCCATCGATAGACCCATTATCAACTCAATTCCTGCAGTCATACATCTTGAGCTGCAGTTCAGAATGAAGCATGCATCATGGCAGTTATAGGTTGATGATTAACTCTGCTTCGTATAGGCGTACCAGTAGGTCGTAGCCGGAGTAGTGCAAGCTTTGGATATCTCTGATCATATTCATGAAAGAAGAAATTTAAATATGATTTCAACCTGTCGGCGGGGTGAGGTGATTCGGCCTTCTATCACACTTAAACTCAAAAGGCAAGTACAGAATTGAAGTTAAATTATCTCCAAGCTCGCTACTATAAATATTATCTATACTTAATGTCCACGTCCATTCTAACCACTAAAAAATCTCTCAAATCCAAGTCCAGTCGAATCCCTAAGCTCATTCTCTACAGTTCCTTCCTAATAGTTTGTGTACGGACCACGCTGATATTTTCCTTGTTCGACCAGTGGTACTCCGGCCAATGTACCACGACCCGTAGCAATTTCCTCGTGTTTATTAATGAACCGACTAGGCCAGACGAAGCAATACAGCGTCATGGCGATCCACAGAGGAAGCGCATCGAGACAGTAAAAGTATCCTTCGTGTATAGACAGGAAACCAGTGTATCTGTGGAGAGAGTATGTAAGCCAATGTTGCCCCAAACTGAAAAGGGGGCTTACCCTCCAGCGAACTCGGCAATACGGAAGATGGATCGAATCTGTAATAATTCGAGGGGAAAAACAACGAGAATGAAAAAGTGTGTGGAAGCAAGCATGTAAATCATACGTACCAGAATCCCTACGCAAGTCAAACACATAGTAAAGTAGAGGATTTTCCAATTCGATATGCTTGATGTCTTGAAGGGACTCGCTACAGAGCTCAAAGATTCGCCATGAGCAGTTGAGCCAAACTGTAGGATACTTTGAGCGACTGTGGAAGCAATGGAGTATATCAGTCACCATATCCGAATTATACGTAAAGAAATCAGACGAACACTCTGAACCCAAACGCAACTAGCATAATAGCAAAAAGACCGAAAGAGAGTAACTGGAGAATCAATCCAATCATCGCGATCTATTGATTTATTGAGCATTGCTGATCGAAAGAGACGAGGGTCTTCAGCTTACCTTAGTTCCAAGCGAAGCCGATTTCTGGTTAGCAGAAAGTCCTCCGCCACCGGACTGAATAAAAAATGTGATAACGTCGCTCCAGACAAAGATTTTTGTGATACGGCGAGCAGGAATCAATAAACAGTCGTCAGCGATGTCTTGTCCGAGGCTGTTGGCTAATCGGGAGAGAAGCATGTAGTCGGTAGCAAGAAAGGCGCAAGGTGAGAGGAGAACAAGCTATAACAGTAGAAAGATGGTTAGTAGTTGAAGAAAAAGGAAACGAAGGTACGTACCAAATCCTCTATTATGTATACTCCAAGTGAATATGGTGAATGAGAAACGACGATTCGCATGATCAGTCCGAGCATGAAGCCTGTTGAACACGGTTTAGGCACAAATCTAGAGCAGCAAGGAAGCCAACCCACAAGTCATCCCAATGATCAAGGTAAGCATGTACCGCTGCCCAATGCGGAAGAATTCTAGGTAATGAATCAGTAAGAATGAGTCTTTTCGAGGTCATATACTCACGAATGCAATGGATTGCACCAGACAGGCCGTAGAGTGCTATTCCGATAACAGCAGGCCATACCTTCATAAAGAAACCAGCACTGTCAACAGCCCCAGTCAGCATTCACATTAGAGATTAATCTTTTCATCGCATACACTGGGCGTTGCTTCTCGGTATTGGTTGCATCTCGAGCATCAAGATTCTAATAAGCAATCACTGTTAGTTGTTGAGATGGATTCAGGAATCGTCAAACTCACTGAAATGACATCTTGAGAGGCAGCTACAAAGGCAAGGCTATATAAAAAGACCGATAGAAAAGAAATTCGTTGCAACATCTAGTTGTCGTGGGTAGGGAGTAATAGGCAAGTACAGTAACGAAATAAAAGTTCGGTTTCCAACTTTATATCATGATCATCCCAGCGAGAGTAGCGAGGTCTTGAAAGAGCTGTGGAATTTAAGCATGCGAGGTACATTTCTAATCAATTTCCGGTGCAGTTTTTTTAGCTGCGGACGCGTTCTGGTGAAAGTAGCGAGGTACGTACATAATATTAACTCATCCCGGCAATCGATGCCCGCATAGCTTTCCACAAGTCAAGCTAGCATTCATGCTGATATTTATCAGGAAATGTATTGAATATTCGCTGTAAGGATAAGGAATTAAGAATTCCGACAATCCATTTCAGGCCGCAAGAAGCTCTCTAACCTCTTCAGTCCCACATGTTTCACACCAACGATTTCAAACTCCTTCTCAATCTTCCTATCCTTGCTCTCGCACGTTGCCCCATCATAGAGTATCAGTTCTTTGCCTGTTTTACCTTCTCCTTTTAAGTACGCCACCGTTGTCTTCGTAAGCGAAGGAAAAAAGCCAAAGGATCTACATCTCACTCCCTGGCTGGGAGTCGAACCCAGCTTTCGCGCGCATAGTCCAGTTGATGATCGATGACAGGCGCGTGTACTAACCGATATACTACCAGGGACTTTACTCCGACAGTGATTGTAGTTATTGTGGAGATATCTATATTCTTCTTTTTGTCGACCGCTCCGCGATTTCTTCTTTACGTCCTTCTTTGAGCCACACGCCCACTAGCACATTCCAATCCAGCCCGCAAATGATCTTGACAGCTCCACACCATAAATCCATCCTCAGACCCCAGAACCCAACCTCGACGGCGACGGCCCAAATATCCTCTTTCAATCTTCAACTTTAGAGATCGCGATTGCTTTTCAGGGATGCCATATACGGGCCTGACGCTTAGACTGCGACGTGGAAGCTATACTAGCTAGCATTACTCGAAATTCTTGACCGTCGTCTCAAATTTTCCGCTTCTGCAGTCAGGTCACTTGGCGTCGGGCGATCTCGGGTCAGTCATCTCAGCACTTTTACGCTATCTTTCACTAACTTTGACAGTCTCACTGCTCTATATATACTGCCACGTCGTATTTCATGACTGTCACGCGCTCGATGATTAGCGGAGCGCTGGATAGACAGATTGGATGGGTTTTATGGATTGACGCTGGATTATCATTCTAGATCTTAGGATGGTGCGCTCGTTTTTCCGTGATATCAAATAATTCTTCTACTCAGACTCAGCTGCTTGATCAGTCGAGCTTGCCCATGGCCCAATGTGCGTTTGCCTCGTTTTTTCTCCTCCTACTCAAGTTTTAACACTTCCGCAGTGATGTCTATTTTCACTCGAGATTCTTTCATGATTCCCCAATCGCAACTTTCTCGACTTCCAAATTCCACTGATCAACGACTCAACCATACCTTTGAGGTTAGCATCGAATGCAGGGACGTATGTTGTCAGCCCAATTGATCGTTCGTGTCGGAGCTGCAAGATTCAACCTTCAAGTCGTAGCCCGAACATGTCATATCCGAGTTTGAATAGAGATCCGACATACGTTCGCTCAGTGCTCTCTAATTCCCACTAACGTTTCGAGGCTGACATTCCGACTCGCAATGCTAGAGGCAACATAATTCCAGTTCACGCTGGATCTGGACGCTGGATCGTTGAGTCAGGCTCAATCGACACTCTCTCATGCTCGAATACAATCGTTGAATTCAAACCTACTCTGTCATAGAGTCTACGCACCTACTACATATGACTTTTCCTACCATGTTCAATTAAATTACTTTCTTGCCATCTCTATCTATCCATTGAGGGCTTCCGTGAAGGGCTATATGTTAAATCAGATATTGGGCAGATCGGCAGATGCGGCAGGTGTATCGCACTTCGAAGAGCTTTTGTGCCACACTCGACTAAGATTGACTCCGGCTTCTATACTATGATCCCCGTCCCGAACTGTCCTTCCATGTCCGAAGTAGTTGTGGATATCCGCCACCCTGATGACAAACTTGACCACTCCCTCGATGGCCAAGGAAGGCCTATAGCCGGAGTGTCGTTACTACGCAATTGAGGCAGCTTCCCATACCTAATCCGCAACTTCAGCCCAGAATTTATCAACGCTTCTAGTCTTCGCATCTCCTCCTCTGTCAATTCGGCTCGGGGTGTTGAAAAGAATACGTCACAGGATTGCAGCATTTTCATTTGAACGCGACTTTCGAGAAAGGTTAATAGAGCGTCAATTGTGATACCTGGACCCTTCGTTATTACGAGGTCAGGAAGTATGGAAGTCGGATAATCGGTGATGATAATTCGGATATGTTGGAGGTAAGGACATAGCATAGAGCCATTATCTGATGAGTTGGAAACAAGACCCAGAAGAACAGAGTCATCTACAGTGTACCTGAGTGAAATGTTCTCCAGCGGGACTTTCTTCATTGTCGTACAACTCTACTTCTCTATCTCCGATTTCGAGGAACCTGAGGTTCGGAACCAGTGAAAGGCATTCGAGCAATGAATTTGGTGTCATCGGCATGTTCAATGAAAGCTTTTCCACTGTCTGTAGTGAAGATAATGAGGAGAAAAACACATCATTGATATAATTTGCATTTGCCCCATTCAAACTAGCCGAAAACCCCTCCAGTGATGGACAAAGGAAGGAGCTGAAAAACTTTTGGAAAAATGTTTGCACCGAAGCCCCATTGTCGTCATTTGTAATGAATATGACTCGCATCTCCCTCATCTCAGGAAGATGCACCACAGGATTACAATTGGGTTCCCAGTCGGGTATCCAACTAAAACCACAAGTCTCTGCAAGCGAGGAGTACATGCCAAGACGGGCAAGATTTCCTCCGAAGAGAGGGTGACACCAATTCCCCGGGCAGGCTGCAATGTGAGCTCTGTTAAGTTCTCCCAGTCAAGTTCCAGCTGACCGTACTGCTTAGAATCATGACTGAAGCCATTTATCCCCAGCTTCCTCAAAACTGGCATCCGTTGAACAAGAGAAGCGAAAGGGAGCTCTTCATCCTCTGAGTTCAAGAGGCGAGAGTAGGAATCTCTACTTTGGATGCAAAACATATTTAGGATGGGAAAATTGGCAGAGGTGAAGGTATCAAGGTAGGCTATGTCGTCAAATGATCCAGTGAAGATGAGCTCCTTGAGTCTGCCGCTGAACTTCAGCAATATGTTCATCATCGTGCGTCTGTGACCATCGGGAGTTGTAGCAGTTCCTGTGGCGCGAGAAACTTTCCAGAGAAAGCGAGATGGATAGCGGGAGAGATCCGGAGCGCTCCAACCAAAGAGCAGAGCCCGTAACTCTTCTCTCGACAGCTTGGGAGCTCAAACTCAAGGGAATGAATAGATGTAGAGAGCTCCATAGTGCAGGAGTAGCAACAGCAGTTCGTCTCCACTCCCGAGAAATGTTGGTCAGAAGCAAAGGTGCCTCTGCTATGTCTCTAACTGCATGCCGGTCTTCTGGAAGGCAATGGACGAGGATTTCCGAGAGTGTTTCCGCAGGAAGGCGACGTATCGGTGAGACGAAAACTTTGTGAGCCTCTACATATTTCTTCGCGTTTTCCCGTCTGAGCAGGAGAGTATCGAGTAGAGGTTTGCACGCGAGCTATTTCCGATTCCAAGCTCGGCAATTTTCAGCTGAGTTGAAATGAGATGATCTTTTACGTGCAGACGATCCTCGGTAGATGGAACATGGTTCCTTTGGATAGTGGATGCAAAAGGCGAATGGGAAAGATCCCAGAGCAAGTCATCATGTGAGGAGAGGTTGTCATGATCAGAGTTCATTGGAAAGCGTGTAAGATTCAAGCGCTTGTTTACGCGCTGGAAGGCGCTGACTCGCAGCTGGAAGGCGCTGCGTGACCCAAACCTTCGAGGCCGAATACCAAGGATAAGTGTTTTCACTCCAAATCTAAAGTTGTTACAGTACCGAATCCGATACTTATTTATCTCATCACTTCGAGGTTTGGAACATGAATATCATTGGAACCGAGTCTCTTACTCCCGTCAAAGTTAAATTATAATCCCCGTCCCAAAATTTCCTTCCATGTCCTTCAGAGGACCAGGTTGAGGAAGACCTGAGACCGGCGAATCATCACTGTGTGGTGGCATTACTACTAGTAGCCGTGCCTTGCCATAACGGATCCGCATCTTTAGTCCAGATTCCACCAATGCTCGTAGTCGCCGCAATTCTTCTTCAATGAGTTCGGCTCGCTCCTCTGAAAAGAAAACATCGCAAGATTGCAATGTCTTCATTTGGCCACGACTCTCGAGGAAGCTGAATAGAGCATCGTTTGTGATACGTGAAGGTTGATTAGGACTATCTTTGAAGAGTATACGGATATGTTGGAGATGGGGACACAGTAGAGTATCCTCATCCGATGAGACAAGACGCATCAGGAGATCATCATCTACTGTACAGTGTGGATAAATGGGCCCTGATGTCCAGTGCCATCTACCCTTGCGAGTTTGTCAACAATTTCCAAGAACCGGAGGTTTGGAACAAGTGAAAGACATTCTAGTAATGAGTCCCGTGTCATCGACATGTGCAATGAAAGTCTCTCTACATCTTGCAGTGACACTAATGTAGAGAATGGTATATAGATGCGTTCTCCATACCATGAAGCATGCAATGTCTTCAGGGAAGGACAACGGAGTGAGTGGAAGAAGTTTCCAATGCATTTCTTCACATTGGCTCGGTGGCATAAGAATGTGATTCGCAAGTTGCGCATTGCGGGAAGATTGGCCACTGTAATTCCAATCGCCTCCCAGTTGGATATGTTAATTTCAAGCGTGAGTGATTTTAGGCGATGAGTGCGTCCCAAGATGGTCAGCAGTTCAGTTGGAGAGAAGGTAGGCCCTATACGAGACAGACCGGTAGGCTTTAATGTGAGCTCGGTTAAGTTCTCCCAGTCCAGCTTGAGTTGACATCGCAAATCGTGCATAAGGAAGTCATTCATTCCCAGCCTTTTCAAGGCGGGCATCTGTCGAACAAGGGAAGCGAATGGAAAGCCCGAATCAAGTCGCGCTCTGTCACCAGACCCTACATTTTGGATGTGAAAGACATTGAGGATAGGAAAATGGCACTTCGGGGAAAGCGAGTCAATGTGATCTATTTCAATAATTGGCCCAGTGAAATTCAGCTCCTTCATTCTGCTGCTGAACTTGAAAAATATGGTTTCTATGAATGCCATATGTCCCGGATGAACCAAATCACTGCTGGCGGAAGTAGTGGCACCATTTATATACCGCCTTCCAAGTTCTCTCTCAGGCTGGACATAAATGGAAAAGGATATTGGGAGTGATCTGGATCGCTCCAACCAAAGAGCAGAGCCTACGGCCCGTCTCTCGATAGCTTTGGAGCTCAAGTGCGAGGGCAGAGATATATGTAGCGAGTTCCAGAGTGCAGGAGTAGCAATAGCATTTCGCCTCCACTCCCGAGAAATGGTGGTTAGAAGTAAAGGTGCCTCTGCTATGTCTCTAACTGCATACCGGTCTTCTGGAAGACAACGGACGAAGATTTCCGAGAGTGTTTCCGCAGGAAGACGGCGAATCGGAGACATCATTGCTCGATGAGCTTCGACGTACTTCTTTACAGTTTCTCTTTCACGGGTGAGAAGAGCTATTTCCAACTCCAACTGGGTCAGCCGAAGCTGGGGTTCAGTCAGAAGAGTTTTTAGCCATACAACATCTTTGGTAGATGGAACATAGTTGGTTTGGACGACGGAGGCAAAGGGCGACTTGGAAAGATTCCACTTCTCATTGACAGACGAGAAGTCACTGTCAGAGTTCATGGAAGGGAAGATGCTGTGTAACCCAAGTGGAAGATAAACGCTTTTATAGTGCGCTCTCGGTAAGTACTAGTACGGCTTTTGGCTATGGCCGCGGTCCGGTCTATTGCCGGTCCTTCCGTCCTGCTTCTACTTCTCTTACCTAACAACTTCCTGCAGATCGATTCACTGGTTAATGGCTATTTCCTTGCAGAACGCATCGGTTTTTGCAGCTTTGACTGAAACTACAAAAGCTGGTACGCTCTTCTTGTGGTAACTGCAAAATTTTAGAGAGCCAAACACAGATGCCTTGCAAATGTCAGCTTTTGTTGAAAAAGTCGGGACGCTCATTGTTTCTGATCATAGTTTATTTATCGAGTCATTACTCAAACAGAAGCGATACATTCGATGAATTCAAAGACCAAGCCTTTCTTTCACCCGAGGAAACAATTGCAATGCGTTTTGGCCGATCTCCTCAATCTCTTCCTTTGTCAAACCCTCAAAGGACAGCAGACTCTGGCGATTCTCCTCCGCCGTAGCCTCTGTCGTACACGGAACTCCACAATCACTGCCATAGACAATGTGCCTATGCCCTACCAGTCCCAATCCAGGCTGAAGTGTCGACTTGCTGGCGGTGTTCCCTGCCGTATCCAGATATAATGTGCGCAGCTGCTCCTCCATCTCTTTCTTCGTCACTCCGTTTGGATTCGGTACCCATGCCTCCGTTCCCAATGCTAACAGCCTCCCTGATAATGCAGGAAGTGCGCCCCCACAGTGCGCTAGACACAGTTTAACATTGGGATATCGACGAAAGTGAGCAGAGTAGAGTAAATCTACTGCCACACGTGCAGTCTCGAATGCCACTTCAATTAGAGGAGCGGGTCGGCCAAGATTTGCTGGTGCATAGGCCTAGCCTAGATGTAAGTTTATCAACCTCAAACAGCAGCCAAAAAAACTCACGAATGGATGACAGAATACGCCAGCTTTTCGCCTATCCAAGTCTGCCCATACGTCGTCAAGAGACGGAGAAGATAACAGCGCAGTCCCTTTATAGGCAGCGGTAACCGCAAACCCGTCTGCCTTGACTCCATTAATACCTTCCCCATCCACACATCTCGAAATCTCAGCCAAACATGCCTCTGGATCATCTGTTGGTAGCGCAGCCAAGAACCCAAATCTATCGGGATATTGAGCTACGAGGCTCGCTGCGTAATCATTGCTGGCTTTTAGTGCGGAGAGCGTTGTGGGGATGTTGGATAACATTTGCATAGTGATACCGGCGCGGTCCATGTAGTTGAGGGTGCTTTGAGGATCCCAGATTATCCCATCGGGGGAAGGTACCATGAAGCACTCGGAACGCATGGCATTCCACCGAGAGAGGTTCTCTGATTCGGACATTGGGGGAGTGAAGTGGGCATGTATATCGATCCAAGGCGTCATTGTGGAAGGAATGCTGTGAATGGGTCGGTCTGTACTTTTATACTCCCATGGTGGGAAATTTCGTCCAACTTGGACTTCAACGATTATTATCATCAGAAGTAGTGCTGAGACCAAGCTGAGACCGAGGTGACGGATTCGGTACCTTGCTGGAGTCAAGGCAAGGTAACTCGAGGTAATGTTCCGAATATGAATTCGGCCTTCACGGCTCCTTATAAATTGCATCCAAGTCTTTACCTTAGAGATTTGAGTATGTACTAGCTTACCACTAGGTTAGCAGATACGTATAATACGCCGTAGCCAACGTTTCAGTCTTCTAACACCAGAAGGCTGTTCTGTATGGGTGCTTTGGCTATAACAAAAATCAGTGAAGTGGTTCGATGGTCCAAGCGTCCGTGTCCTGCAGCACCTGAAACGACACCCGCGAAGTCCATCATGTATTCCCATTGAGGGACGAGTCTAATATTCTGACCAACCAGCGGCGACCAACCTCTCCAGATTAGTTCTGCAATGGCAGCTGCAGCATCCCAGTCTCAAGAATACAACTTGGAGTCAGGCCGAAAAAAATTGGTGCAGCATCATTTTCCAACGACAAATAAGAATAGTTAGAAGATGCTCGGGAAGGATACTGGGAAAGGCTGTAGTGGCGGGACACTGCTGCGGCAAGCTCACTTATTGATACCTTAATTGCTCTTAATCACCAGTGATTCCAACAAGTTTCACATTGGTTCACGCTAACGCTTTCAGAAATCCTTCTCAATCTTCTCCCATCCTTATTCTCCCATATCGCTTCATCATATGCATAGAGCATCAGTTCTCGTGCTGTTTTTCTGTCACGCTTGGTTCCTACTGTACTAAGGACTTTCCAGCGAATTCCGCAGCCGTACCGTCAACGGAAAACGAGTCGAAAAGTTCTTACTGAATTTCTATGGGGCAGCTGGCAGAAGAATGTTCCATTGTTATAACGATATTAAAGTACGCATTCACTTTCTAGGACTTTCTTTGCATGCAAAGAAAAAAAGGGCCCAGAAATAATCGACACACTCCCTGTCTGGGAGTCGAACCTAGCTTTCGCACGCGCCATTGAACGACAGGCGCGTGTACTAACCGACTGACCACCAGGGATTTCAGTAAGACTGTGATTTTGTAAATTTAAATAACCATTTTCTTCTTTGACGGCACGCAGAATTTTATTGTCTGTGTACAAATCTCCCACTACTAGCACATCCCAATCCAACCCACAAGTCATCTAGACAAATCCACACCGAGCTTTCGACAAATCTATCCCTCAGACCGACCTCGATGGCGATGAGCTCTTTTCGCTCAATGTCTTCTTTCAATCTTCAAGTTTATAAATCGCGATTGATTTTCGGGGGATGTCACTGAGCCTGACGCTTAGACCATGATGTGGATGTGGTTACTGCCTTGCTTGTAACACATGGATACGATTGCTGCCTAAAGTTGAGCTAACTAGGTGCGTTACTCCTCTCAGAATTCTTGACTGTCGTCTCACTTCTTCTTCCGCTGTAGCCAGGTTACTTGGTGTCGGAGCGCGTCCCCTGATCACATTTTTTCCACTTTTCAGCTCTACTTTTTGCACACATCTTTCAATAAACTTGAACAGAACAGCGTCGTAATTTTCAACTTGAATGGTTCAACTCGACTCGAGGAATTATCAGAGTGGCTTGGGATAGAATAGATTGGATGAGTGTAGATTGAATCGATCGACGGATGGATTATCATTCTGGATCTTGGATAGTGCGTTCATTTTTCCATGTCTTCCAAGGAATCTATGATCTCACGATGCTGAACAAACCTTCTGCTCAGACTTGTATGATGGACTCTCCACGTACTTGATCAGTCGAACGTCTAGCCATGGTCGAATGTGCGTCTGCTTAGTTTTTTCCTTTCCCTCCTACTAAAATTCTCCGCTTCCGCAGTGTTATTTCCTCCAATTTACAACTCTTGATTCTTGTACAAATGATCCAATGACTCGACCATCCTTTCGAGGCTAACATAGAATGCAGGAACGTATCGCGTTTCACTCGAGCCAGAGCCAAGAATCAACCTTGTAATCCGAACATATCATATCCGAGTCTGCATAGGGATCCGACATACGTTCGTTAGCTCTTGCAAGACATTACGAATCGGAATGCACCTCTACCGGAGGTGACATACTTCAAGCTTGCGCTGGATGTGGACGCGTCTCTCAGGGATCTACGTTCTCAATTTGTCATAATGATTAAGTATATCAATTCAAAGCATCTTTCTCTTCTCTTATGCTTGAATACTATACTGAATTCAGACCTGCTCTTCCGTAGAGTAAGTAACCGGAGGTGATTTCAAGCTTGCGCTGGATGTGGACGCGTCTTGACAGTCTTATTACCTTGATCTATGTTCCCCTTTTGTCATAATAATTAAGTATATAAATTCAAAGCATCTTTCTCCTCTCTCATGCTTGATACTGTACTGAATTCAGACCTGCTTTTCTATAGAGTAAGTATCCGACTGCCTTCTACGGTCTACCGCTTTCAATTAAATAGCTTTGTTGGTGCTTCTTGTCATCTCTATCTGTCCCTTGAAGGCTAGATGTTAATGAAAACCTGATTCATCCAGTGCCTTGACCGGAGGTCTGTTCTTCATGCTTCTGTTCAAAAAGCAAAACTACAGCGAAAATCAAAATTGAGATAAACAAGAACCAGCAACCAATTTCGGTCTCAGTGACCCCTGCCCGGATTGAACGGACGACCTTGTGGAATCTATCTAAGGAGTTTAAAAGATCACAGAGGCTGGAATCACACGCTCTACCACTGAGCTAAGGGGTCAATACAGAGCTCATTTCCAATTATAGGTAGTAATTTCGATCTATCAATTTAGACTAGTATAATACATTTAGGTCAACTCATAATGCTCGGCTGGAGTAATAAGATTGGATTGTGGATTGAACTCAATGGTTGGGATTGAGTTCTCATTTGTACTTGCCAGTCCCAACTGTTTTCTCCCTTCAGCACGGAGGTTGAGCATGAGGCGTGCAATAAGGGTACTTGATAATCTGAGTAAGTTGGGGGTAGTTAACAAGCCATCGAGCTTGGTAGGTAGGTATGAATTCAAGAACACACGCACATGTTAGTTACGATGGTGTTGGCATTCTTCAGAAGGGACTGGATGTTATTGCGTGAATATGCGAAGCAAAGAGCATTATTACGTATACGCACGGGAGCATACTGTAAAATGTTCAGCAAAGATTGACGATGCGAAATAGGAGTGGAAATACCCACTATGAGCATTAAAACATTGGCTAGGTTTGCAGCGAAAAGAACACTGGAGGATATTTTTGAGCTAAAGACAAGTTGGAAACGTTTCTCGTACTGGACATACATGAAGTAAATCGATCCTATACATTTTAGGTTCAGAGAGACAAAAGAATGGATAAATATTACTCGGATAACTCACCATCACACAGAAGAACAGTCATTAATCTTATCGGATGTTGGAAACCAATAGACAGAGCTTTGAAAAGGGTGAACGAGAAGACGGTAAAGTCAAATACGAGGAGGGCACTCCACGGAATTGAAAGACCTGAATTATTTTAATGGTGAGCAAGTCGCCCCTGAGATCCATTGGATGAGCACTCACGGCGACTACTGCAGAGATAGTGTGAGCACACCCACCCATATACCGACCAACAGCTTACCTTGCTTCGGGAATCTCAGCATTGCACCCCGGAAATTCTGTATTCCCATTGATGTCCAGCAGAACGTATGTTTTTGAATCAAGCTCCGCAAATATCGCATACTAGGTATGCAATTTATTGATGTGAAATTGTTCGAGTAAAGTAATGCTACTTGCCAGAGCTCCACCTATGCATACGGCAACCAGCAAATTCAACGTCCATAGGACCGACCGCTTGTTGTTATACATGGCGGAAACACGCAGCACACATAGGACTATGAATGCAGTCAACGAAATGCATACAGGGCACACACTTGGTTGAAAGTTAAAACCTACTGAGGATTAATAGCTGTACAACACCAGCAAAAGGTTGATGAAATCGATAAATAGAATGACATCTGAGAAGTAAAGCTGAGCCTGTCAAAAATAATCGTTACTCGGAGAGAAACTCACATCTTGTAGTGTATAGTAGGTTAACGATGACAAAGGTATCAGTGCCCAGGATTGTTCACTCGTAAAACGGAGTACTTACCGATTCATTCACAGGAAACATGAACACATACAACACCATCACAGCATGACCTCCTAGGACCAGATATCGGTTTATAAGGTACAGTACAGATATCAGAGAAACGCGATTTTGAGGCGGCCATATGAACTCGATCTCATCCGCAAGGGTAAGGATGTAGTCGTAGTAAAGGATTGCTAAAGGAACCAACTGTTAGATGCGACTGACTTGACATGTATAAGCAAATAAACACTCGCTGAATGCTATTAAAGGAATCATATGACTGGCAATTCTATGGACCGAAGCTCAGTTAGGCCTCGGGTGCAAAGGCAGAATCCGACGTACAGCTGATTGCCAACAGATAGCTGATCTGTTGCGGTAGGACACCATCGGTATATGGGATCAAAAGCCATCCATGTTCATACTTGGACCTTTATAAGAGGGCGAGGTATGACCTAGATGGTGGGGATGTCAAATATCATAAACATTGAAATATTATGTATAGAAGCTGTTCCACATATCGAAAGACGTGGGTAGATGGAACACAAAAAAGATCTGGTCCGCGGGAAGTTGGGAACGTTGGGAACTCGGCTTGCGATCTGTCGATCAGATTCAGAGCATCGTCGTCAGAGGTCATGTCATGAGTCATCCTTAGACCAGCTGTTTCGGGTTGAATTTGGTGGTACCGCTCCACTACAAGTAAAAAGAGCCACTTAGGAGAAAAAGCTGAAACTGATAGCGGAAAAACCAAGGAGCTATATTTTTCTATTGAACAACAGCAAGATACTTACGGAAATCATAGACCAAGTGGGCCTTTTGTATGCCGCACGTTAAACCTAGTAAAATGGTCAACTATGTACCTCAGAATAACGAATGATGCTCCTCGTACCTTGTGGGATCGTACTTGGCATAGACAGTCTTAAGAAACTCGAAACCTCCGTAAGTTTCATAAACGCCCCGC